CCTTTTCTCTTTCCCATCTTCAACCGCAGTCCCTCCCAAACCAGACTAATGAAAGTTTTGTTTTCATTATATAAGAGCAGTGCAGAATCAAATACATTTTAAAAAATAACAAAACTAGGGAACTGACAAGACATGTGTCTACAATCACCCTATATCCAAACACTGAGGTTTGAACTTGGCCCAGACATTTCTGAAAATGCCAAATTGGATTTCCACAAACACAGGGAAATGGTTCCACAGCTGGTATAAACAGAATTAAGGTGCATTGCTTAAAGTTGCCTACCAAACACACAGAGGTAGGTTGGTAGAGGAGACCAGCACCGTAGAGGAGAAGGAAGTTGCAAACTTCAGCCTAACAAACTCTTAAACACGTGATTAACATTAAGTAAGGGTTCCACCTTCAAATGGGACACTCACAAGCTTAAAGGTAAGTAGTTGCCTAAGATCTTGAAGAACAGAAGTCTCAGTCCTGTAGGCTTTTTTTGTACTGAAAACTAACCCATAGGTCTTTGATATTTCTGTAATAATTCAAATCAGGCAACACCAGAAAAACTACTTTTTTTTTTTTTTTTTAAGTGGTTTTAAGGGTAACATTTAAAAACACATTAGCTCCCCTGTAAAAGAATACAACTGATTTGCTTAGGTCTACCAGTGCAAGTGAAAACAGAACAGAACTCAAGGGATCATTCAGGATAAATTACAGGAAAAAAAAGAAATGCAAAATTCAGGAGTTTTTAAATGGAAGATCAGATTTATATGGCAAGCATTCAGTCCTGCTCCAGGGTGTCTGGCCACTGACAGAACAAATGCCAAGTCACCTCTTGTCCCAAGGATCTGACAAATTTGGACAACAAAGCACACTGGCAGCCCCCCTGGAAGCTTTCAGATGTTTTCACACCATTGGGATGTAGACATCCAGTGCAGACATTATTAGAAGCACAGCAGCTGCATTCCCACCTTCAGGGTGTCCAGCATATGCTGGGTTCTGGCAGTTGCATTGCTCATGGCAAGTGACTGGGGGAGTTCACAACTAGCCAGATCACATCTTCATTGCAGCAGAAGACTCAACTATTATAGACATGTCAGGATGAGAAAAGTCAGTACAAAGGAAATGTGGGAATGGGATGGGATGTGAAAAATGAATGGAGAAATAAGGAAGATAATTTATGGAGAAAAAAAGATGCTTAAAACATCAGCTTTCCCTGATTTTTTCCCTTTCCCTGAAGACTATAATTCTCTTTTTGTTTGGGGTGTTACTCTTGGTTTTGTGTTTGGGCTGTTTGGGGTTTTTTGATATTGTTACATCTAATTTTGCTTCCACCACACTCTTCTATACTATAATAAAATACTTCAGCATTGCCCATTCCTGAAAATGATTTTATGGAAGAAGCAGACAGCAAGAAGCCCAATTCCTATTGCACAATAAGTAAAACTCTCTCAGTGGGTCTCTGTTCATGATAATACACTATGGGGAAAAAAAAGACTACAAACAAGCAGTATAATAAATAGCATGTGCAAAATGTACAGTATAGTAAATACACTACAGGGACTACTAACAGAGTAAGTATGCTTACTCCATAAGCACCATCAACCATCTTCTGTGGTTTGGCACATCAAATATTTGCTATGTACTTCACCATTTTAAAAGCATTGCAAATCCTTGGCTGGACACCAAGCAAATGCTGTATATTACATTGTCAATTGTTGCTTTGCATATTCAATGTGTGACCTCACCTCCCTCACAGTTCAATGTTCAATGTATAGAAACACCAATAAAACACACAATGTTTATTTCCAGTGACATATTATTAAATGGGTCTCTCACACTAACAAAGCAAAGGATTTCTCTTTAAGGGGAAGTCTAAGGGGAGACAAGGACTTCAAAACTATATTTGAGAATCAATTCTGTTAAAGAAGTGTTTTTCCAGTTGTTTTGCCAGGTCCATTATCTGAAGAACAGCATAGGACTTTCTGCAGCACTGTGGAAGGACAGACATACAAGTGATCCTTCTGTGTTCCCTAACTACAGCACTGAGGAAAACCACACTACACACTTATTAATTAATGTGTCACTAATGTAGATACACACTCCAGATAGAGCCATCTGCACACATAAGGGAAGGGAAGAGAGAGAAGAAATCATAGGCAGGCAAGATGGGGACATTTACCCTTGCAAGAGGCTTGACTGGGCCAGAAGATGGAATTCCAGAGCAGCTCCCAATACTAAAGATGGATCAGTCCATCCTCTCCTAGCAGGCTGGACAATATTCAAGGGCTTTCTCACTCCTGCCTGCCTTGTGCACATGAAAAAAATCAGCACTGTAACACCACACTGTATCTCATCCAAGATGGAAAAGAGGAATACTTAAAGAAGTTAAAGTCCAGCTGAATGGAAATACAGAAGAAAATGATTGATAGTCTACTTGTATATGGACTAGAAATGAGGCTGCTAACAAGCCTGCAAATTGTGATGTCATGCAGATGCTGGCAGGGGGAATAGTGATTGCCATCTAACTGAGTGCAACCTGGATATCAGGAGTTAACCATCATTAGTAGGAACCAAATACTGGGATGTGGTCAAGTGACCCCAGCTCAGATCAGGAACAGGAGATTAGAAAAGGTCACCCTCACTGCAGGGTAATCATGGTTCCATCAACACAAACATGATGTTGTTTTATCAGCTCTAAAACATTTCTTACCAGCTCTGAAAGACTTTCACTACTGGCCTAGACTGGATTAAAGCTGGAACCTGCAGCAAGAAGATTCCTTGCTAGTAAAAATTAATCCCAAACTTTTTAGTCTGTACTTCTTTATAGGTAATTTTTCTGTAAATAATAAGAATGAGCTTGTATAAAATCAAGGAGGTGATATAAAGAGTATTCCTTCATTTCTGAAATGAAGAAATACATTCTAGATTTTATCCTGAAAAACAGTATCAGGAAATCAAAACATACACAACACGCATAAGGACGATACAGGAACTATTATTATTGCTATTATATGTCAGTCATAATGTTGCTAAAAGCCTTGTGAGTTGTCATGGATTTCAGTTTGTATGGAAAGCACTTTTATTAAGTACTGCTTTTAAAAACAGTAAAAAACAGTTTAGCATATTACAGTTCCTCTTAGGTCATTGAGGGTGCTTCTCTTAAATACATTAAAATGTAATAATAACAGCCCCCACAGTTCAGCACAACAGTTTAGGATTTTGTACTCTATTATGACAGAGGACACATCTAAGCATTACATTGGCAAAGTGTTTACCTCACTATGCTGAAATTGTATCAGTGAAGAATACATGCTCTAGGGCATCTAGCTGTCTCTATTTGTACCTCATGACAATCTTTCATCAGAAAGTGCATCCCTAGCAAGTGCATTTCTGGAGCATTAAGTTATCTGTATCCTGAGTGACATAAATTCGTTCCTTAAGGTCAGCCAAAATGTGAATTCTGCTCTTCCCCTCAGACTCTATTTAGATCTGCACACAATACTGTATTTGTCAAAATATCTCCTCGTAGAAATGTGGCCAACTCTATTCACAGATTGATACTTTTGCACCAAGGACTGATCCCAAATCTTGGTTTGAGTTATTTAACCCAAGGAAAGGAACCGCTCTATCACTGTTTCGTCAGAAGATTAATTGCCAGTGGCCACTGGCCAATGCTAAACTGATCCAGTTTGAGAATGGATTTCAAATCCAGACATTTCTTTCAGGAGATTGTTTTATTCTATGCCAGCTTTCTGCTCCAAAAAATATGCAAATGTCCAAAGTTCAGAATTGTAAGGATATGTTATAAATTCAGAATCAAATATTACCTGACTCTGCAATGTGTGATTGAAGCTGCAAATAAATTTAAATTTAAATTTAAAAATTTAAAAGCACAAATAGGTTTTGAGAAGTAGAACCTGAACATCACCTTAAACCAAGTCAGCACTGAACCCTAATAAAAGTCCATGTCTAATAAACATTATCTGCTATGTCACGTTTTATGTATATATTTCATATGTCTTAAGCATGTTAGAGTAAATTCCATATTCTTTTGAGAATGACTTCTTATTTCAGTTGCTCAATATATCAATAACTATTCAGAATTACTGTCAGTGGGACAGTAGCCCTCAGCCACTTACTAGCTTCCCTACAGTCCTTCTGTAGGCAATTTTCCAGAAAGACTTTGGCTCCCCAGAAGTCTACAGTCTTAGCTAAAAATCAGGAAATATAACCAACAACATGAGTCTGCAAAAAGTAAGACAAAGAAAACCTTGAAGATCACTAGATCTGAGATCCAAAAAGACATCTGATTGTATAACAGAGGCCACAGTTTCATCCAGGTACTTTTGCACTGAGTCATATAATTTCTGTTTGGACAAAATATATCTTCCATAAAGGCATTTAGTCTTATTTAGAAATGTCAAGAGAGAAAGAATTCACTTCTGGGTAGTTTGTTCCAGTAGTTTACGCCAACAGTATTTCCAGAGCCTACAGAATGAAGAGATATTTTTTGCACTTATATAATTCCAGCTCTCATCTCTGCAGAAAGAAATTCATTAAAGTCTACAGACCTCAGTCATCACTGATTTAAGCCAAAAAATTTAAGTTTCATTGACTGTCTTTACTTTTAATGTAATTGAATTTTTTTTCACACCAAGAATGCCCAAGATGTTTACCTCATTTGACAGGGAGTAGGAAGAGGTGGACCAATTTCTTATGAGGAACTGTTTCAACTGGAAAAGGACTGAGGGTGCTTGGGTGTGCAGACAACATGGAAAATATGGATCTTCAAAAAAATTACCCAAAAGGACATGGTCATCATACATTTTTGGCCAAAAATCTCATGATGGGGCAGGTATGGCTTGGAAAGAAATTCCAGCATTTGCTAAAGAACTAAATGATCTAGATGATGAGTTTAGCATGAACTAAGGAGCACAGGGGGTGGCTGTTTTCAGTGCAAGATCATCCTTTTCCTCTGCTTTGGAAAGCGTCTTCCCAACAACCCACTTACCCAGGTGAACTGATTTTGCATTGTCTTCAATAATTTCTTGCTACCACTGTCTCCATCCATTACACGGTAAATACGGGCAGAGTCTCCTCAGATGTTTGCAATAAAGCTGTTGCAGTGAATGGGGTGGGTTCATCATCATTGCAGTCAGCAGTTCCTGTAGGCACTCCTGCCTCCAAAACTGCCACAGTTGTCTCTCACAGCTGGCCTTCTAGCAAACAAATGGAAATGACACTGCTTTCCTGTAAAGAAGCACAGAGGAACAGCCCTTCACATCAGCCAAAAGCTCCAGTCCAGCTGAGAAGGCAAAGAGTTAAAGTTTAGATGGGACTTGCAGTTACAGTTTGGATGGGGTATAAGAAAGGGAGCACAGGGAAGCAAAGGTTCATGAGCAAGAATAGTTGAAGAAAAAAACATGGGAGGGAATAATAAAAAATTATTTAACAGGTAATGTCATCTTCATCTTCAAGTTTCGTGGATACACTTGGAAAGCACCCTATTGTAGTCTACAATGTTCTTCTTTTAGATTTTAAATATAACAGGGTAATAGCCCTTTGGGGTCTTTCTGGAGCACAACAAAATATTGCAAACATAGGCTCCACCCTGTGTATCATGGAAGTAATATTAATAATCATTTCCTCTGGCCCCTTATAACTCTGTTCTGCTGGGACTACATTTGGGGAAAGCAACTTTTAACACCTGAGCTGCCACTCTAGTTAATATTTCTCACCAAAAATTCAGAGAATCTCTTGCATAAGCTAAATTGCACTTCCCCATTCTTCCTAAGAGCAAACATTGAAAAATTTCATTTTAGGATTAGGCTTTGTCTATGCTTTGGCATTAGGAGAAATACGAGGAACAACCTGATGCTGAATATAAAATCAGTACTTGAACTCCAGAAATTTCCTTGCCATTTAGCCTTTAGACACAAGATGGCAGCAAGAAATTCATTTCAAGCATTTGCTCCCAGTAGTTCAGCATTACCTGGCAGTAGCTTTAGAGACACGGGTTTGTGGGCTTGGTTACTGTGAGTAGTTGATGGATTCACAAACACTCGTGCCCTCACGCTGTTCACCCATGGCCCTGAACTCTGCTCTTACTCATAATGATGCTCTACTCATAATGACCAAATATTTATTGTACTGCTTACACAATCATGCACAAAAATACTTCTATGGCAAACACCGTTGTTAAGGTGTGTAAAGCACAGCCCTTCTAAATAAATCAGTGGAAAACTCATTAATTAAGTCCTCCTTTATTAAATAGCCCTTTGTTTCTATTCTTTCCCATTGTGTGATATTTTTTCTTTCTCATAATTTTAGCTTTTAAGATCTAGAGTCTTTAGTAGTCCTGATAATTTCCATCTTTTTTTTTTTCTTAGATTTCTTCAACCTGTGATGTTCTAGAACTCATCTGATCCAAAGCTTTACAGCTGTTCAGAAAAGATTTTGCATATTTCTAAATATTCTATGTCAGACAGAATTTCTGCCCTTTAAATTCAAATGAAAAGTGGGGTTTGCCATTACACAGGAAAATTATCTATTTTTACCCCGTTGAAAAATGAACAGTGTAAAAATTCAGATTAGTCCACAACTCAAAAGTTCCTTAGCATTTGTGAAGCATTCACAAATTTGTTGATAAGAATTTGTTGATAAGAGAAACTGCTCCAAGGACTCCTACAACCAAAGCAGGCATCTAAAATTAAAGGTTTTGAACCAAACTTGCCAGCTAAAGCCTTTAACAGATTCAGATACTCTGAGGATTGAAAGGACACACATTTTATACACAAACACCATAACACTCATATGAACTAAATAATAAAACAAGTCAAAGAAGAGCCAGGGCTTTCCCTCAGAGACAGCAACATTCTGGAGCAACATTCCTCATTTGCAAGCAAGCCAGAGCTACATGGACATTGCTCCACCTAATGCTGAAGTAACATCACCAAAACACACTAAGTAATTTTTTTTAAAAGTAGGAAACTCTAATAAAAGTATCCATATATATATCTGGTTTTATCCACCCACCTCCTAAGCTGATTAAACTTGCTGGTAGAGAAGCCACTGATTTTAATTACACAGCCCATCAATGATGTAAGTCTGTCTACTTTATTACATATTTTCATTGTCTTTCTTTAAATCATTTTCTTCAGACTGTTAGCAATTGATTTTTTCAAGTGTCTTGTTAAAACAGGACTGTCTGATTTGGCCTCATAATACATATTTAATCTTTTAATATCTCAAAATAAATAGTCTGCTTCATAGTAGCCAGACATTGCACTTGACATTACAAGGACACACAGCTATTATATCATCTTGTTTGGGAAACATGTGATATACAAGTTTACAGAAAATTTGGCCCTTTGTTTAAACCTTGTAAGTGTTTCTTTCCCCTCAGAAATACATATCTGTCTTCCAAAAAAAACATATCACAAGATTAATGAATATTCCCTTTGTTAAAAACTTTCATATTCTCTGGTCAAGAGGAGCAATGTCCAGCTAGTAATTAACCCACACTCTGGTTCAAGGACAGAATTATTTACTTACAAACTTGGAATGCTGGAGATTGAAAACACATTTTTATCAGGATACTAACAATACTAAGAGTTGATTTGAGGTGAGGTCTCAAGAACTCAGATGAAATTCTTAAAAAATTTACCACAAAACATATTTGATTATTTACCCTTTTTAGTACTGAAGTTTTCACTGAGCATCAGTATGTCTGTCTCAAACTAAATAAACCTAAAATGAGCCACAAAATTGCATTAACTTTTTTGTTGAAAGTAGTCCTGATGTTCCCACAAATACTAAAAATATGTGCAGCATCTATTGTGTGTTTAGATGGAAACCAAGTCTCCTTTTCTTCAGGAATATTATTTCTAGCATAACATTTTAGAGTCCCTGCACTTATTCTTTTCTATCCACAAAGTTCTGAATAGGTTTTCATTTGACCTGCATTTGAATAGCGGATGACTGAATTGCATTTTGAACTTTTCCAGATAGGAATTCTTATTTTAAGAACATTTGTTTTTATCTGCTATATACAGAGTTCCCTTCAGAAAACAAGCACTGCAGGAACAAAAATTCTCACACCAATCTAATTACAGCAAACAAACTCCTGAGGCCAAAACTTCACACCCTATTGTCTTCCTGGAAGATTCTGTCATGACCTTAAATCCTCACACCTTCTTCTGGTAAACTACAGGCAAAAAAGATGGAAGCAGAGATGTAATTTTAATTTGTCATCCTGGGAGACAAATCCTTCCAATAAACTGCTGCCCAATTTCAGGGTGAGGGAGATTATTGATTAATCTCCTTAAGCTGTAGACCATGCAAGGAGAAGCACATCCCTGTTACAGGGATGCCTCACATGGAGGAACCCTCAGAGTTTTCACTGATGCAGCACAAAGCAGGCAGACTCAGGAGAAGAACCAGAGCCAAAAGGCTCAGCTGGAGGAGTAGAAAGCTGTGGCTGATGTTTCCACATTGTCACCCAGCTCTGCACTTGGTGCAAAGCCTTCCTCCACTGAAGTGGGCAGATCCGAATTACAACAGAATGCAGCTACAAATTATAATAATTTGTATAAGGTCAGCCAAAATAATGTAGAATTAATAGTTTGTTTCCCTTCCCATGTATTTATAAACAAATACACCTTGAATATGCTCAAATATTGTTTATATGCGCTTTCCACAAATGCTCAAGAAGTCATATGGTACAAATTCTGCATATAAGTGAGCTTCTAAACTGATGTACAAGTATTCACAGAAAAAATATTTTAAAACTTCATGATGAACAATGGTGCCAGGCACTCAAAAATTTATCCAATTTTGTAGCAGAAGCCGTCTTTAACATGCACCAGAAATTAAACACTTAGAGTTGCACTTGAGTTTCAAATTTATCTGAATCAATACTCCCAGGGAAATTATCAATAACAATCTTTTTTTAATTATAAAATTCGTTAAATCTGAATAATGAATAATTCAAAATATCTGCTTTGTTCTTAAAATGTAGTGAAGTAAAGTGAGAATCTACATTTATCAAATAAATTATTCATTGCAAGATTAGTCATTCTGTTCTGCCAATACATATCACACAAACAGATTCAATTACTAGAATTATGGCTTGGGAAGAAACCTTCTCTGATTTTAGCTCACAGTTTCAGCAAAATCACTTAGTCAAACAGGACTTCAGCACAGAGGCTATCATTAGGATAAAGTCACATATCAAAGAAAATAAATGTAGTCTGAAGAAACCACTGAACCTACAAATCTTCAAATAAAAACAAATAAGGTAGCTTAAAAAATAAGTTATATGACACCAGTAAAATAATAGGCTGTTCTGGAAAGAAAAGGGTATTATAAGTTTTTGAAGAAAAAGATAGTTATTAGAGAGTATAAATATTATAGGCACAACATTTTTGAATACTGATCTGAAATTTTGGAAGAAAGTAGGAGCCTTTAATTTGGATTGCAGTCTGAGACTCTGTTACTTTAGAGACTATGACACAAAGAAACACTTAATATTAGTTCTTCAAATTATTTTGTCCCATTCCAGTACATCTAGTGAATTGGGTTCATCAGTACAGATAACCTACAAAACCTACAATAGACTTTACATGAAACTATTTTGCTGAGAAACAGAGATTTCAATCAGCTCAATAAATAGTAAATATTGAAACAAGAATAATGTTTTAAACAATGTGACATTAGAATTCTATGATATCTTAAACAGAAGTGAGCCCTAATCCCTTATTCTTTGTGAAATATTTGTTATAATTCATAAATGTGATTAGTTTCATTTTGCCCAGACTTTCTTTATACTCGAGACATAATGACTGTTCAGAATCAAATCCAAACTATGTGGCACACACAAAACTAAAACACAGAGATTAAACAGGTATTCATTTCAGAAAATACAAGTATTTCCTACCAGGAGCCTGAAAATAAGATGATAATTGAAGAAATTATTGAATAGTTTACAAAGATTTCATTTTTCCCTTCAATCTCCAGGTCTTAAGAATCCTAAAGAATAGGAAATTTCATTTCAAATGAAATAACTAAATCTGGACTTTTCACAACTGAAAAACAAGCTTTACAAAATTGAGAATATGTTTTTTTTTAAAACATTAGAAAGCAAAATGCAATTAAAACCAAATAATAATATATTGTTGGGACAAACAAATTGATAGCGAGACCAATGATTTTTAATCATGATTCATGATTTTTAATGTCTGCTGCAACAG